TCCAAGGGATGACAAAGGGGAGCCTCAATTTGAGGATTTAATCTGCCAGGGGTGTGCAACTGTTTGTTCTTTTTTAAAGCTATATCCTGATTCTATCTTTGCACCAGTCCAGCAGCAGACTACTACAAATTCCTCAAAGGACAAGGAGGTGGTTGAAGATGCACCCTTGACTGTGGGATCTTCTAAGGAGCTTATCAATGGAAGTTCTGCAATTGAGACTCCTGTAACCGATAATAGTCCTAAACAAGACTGCAATGGAAAGACTGTTCTTGGAGAAAATGCTGCAACAAACACATTCCTTAATCAGTGTAATACAGATGCTGGTCCTAGTACCAAATGTGTTGTTGGACTAAATTTGTTAGAAGCTCCAAATAGCCTTGAGAAAAGCAAGTCAATGTTCCTTTCCAAAGACTGGAGAGAAGTCCTTTGTAGGTGTCCAAATTGCATAGAATTCTACAAACAGAAAGGCCTCGCCTTCTTACTTGATAAAGAAGATACCATTGCCGAATATGAGAAACTGGCAAAGCAGAAGATAGCTGAACATGAGCAAGAACAGAGCGCTGAGTTGCTTAATAATCTGGGCCATGTCGAGAAAATGGAGGTTTTGACTGGTATCGCTGACCTTAAAGACGAGATTGGTACCTACCTGGTATATCCCTCATCCCAAACTCTTACTGTTTAACTGATATTTCTCATTTTCTCAGGGTATAGCGCTTGAGCATTCTTTTACCTTTCTATTTCCTTGACAGGCCTCCTTCGATCCATCAAAGCCAGTTACATCTGCTGATGTTCATAAGATTTTTGAGAATCTTGCCCAGAAGCGTAGGCGTATGTCTTGAGTTATCTTGAATGTCCAAGAAAGTAGCTCTGCAGCTACACATCTAGTGTAGTTAGTTTTGCTGCTCAACGCTAAAACATCCAGTAGTTTAACTGTTCTATGGAGAATTCATAATGTTGCTTTACTACTATCTAACTTTAGCTTATCGTGTTGTGTTTGTTAGCTATAGTGAGACAATGCGATCATGTTACTGTTAAGCTCAAAGAACTCCTTTGAGTTAGAAAGTATCTATTGGATCAAAATTTCCCAGTCACTCTTGTTTCGCTTTGTTCTGTTCTAGCTTCAAGTGGGGCTTATTGTAGTAAGCTCTGTTGCAAATGTGCGTTTTTTTCAAGGTAGTAGTGATATAATGAAACAGAGAGAAATGTAGTGTTGTGCAAATTAGTTTGAACTCGAAACCCAGTATTTGTTGTTTAGCCAAATGAATAGCTTTTTTTCCTACTGAAAATATATAAACATACAGCTACAACAAATATGTGAAGCATCTAAATAATCACTTACATATAAGATATAAGTTCGAAATAATCTTTTGAACGCGAAACTTTTAGGATTTTGATTGAACGAATATTAAAAATGCTTGCTTTTGAAAAAGTTGAAGGACCAAAACGGTTCAAAGCAAAAACTTTAGGAACTTTTTTGAACTTGCTTCAAAACACAAGAGACCATTTTATCATTTTCCCATCTTTCTGTTTGTCTCGTTTGGTGGCCGCCGGCGGAGCTGTTCCTCGACGTCCGGTAAAACGGTCAGAATTTTTTCGTTTCTAACTGTGTATTTATCTTTATTCATCTATCTATCTCGTGTTCGAAAGCTTATAACTGTAACTATGCCAAAGTGAAAGGAGACTAGTTCCTGTTTGGCCATAGATTTGATGTTGATACTTGAAATTTGAGTTTTTGAAGTTATGATTTCTGGAATTTGAAGCTATGCTTGGACATTGGACATGCATTTTACTCAGATTTTTTTGAGGTTTTGTGATTGGAAGTCCCAAAAACTACTTGAAGATCAAATTTTGAGAATCTGATCAAAATTCATGATCAAAGGTAGGGATATTTGAAGTAAACGGTGAAGCCAATTGACTATTTGTGTAAAAGTGGTAAACTGAAATTCCTGCCAAAACTCTCTTTACAAATATGTCTGATTGGTCGGACCTTCAACAAGATCTACTGGTTCTAATAGTTAGACGTATAAATTTGATTGAAGACTTCCTAAATTTTGGCATTGTATGCAAATCCTGGCGTTGTGTGGTCACCAAGGAGAATTTTAACAGTAACTTATGTAGGGTTCCATGGCTAATGTTAGCTGAGGAAGAGGATGATAAAACATGTAGGAAATTCTTTAGTCTCTATAATGGCATGATTTTGAAGAAGAGGATTCCAAAAGCGAGTGGAAAACGATGTATGGAGTCTATGGGATGGCTTATCACAGTCGGAAAAGATGAGGGTGAAATTAGTCTGTTACATCCCTTCTCGGGTGTTCAAATTCAATTGCCGCATCAAATTACCACAGACCATTATGAATTTAACCAAACTCCTGTTCCATGGACCTTTGTCCAGAAAGCAATTCTGTCAGCCAATCCTTCTCATACATCTGACTATGTTATCATGATCATTGAGGGACACTACCAGTTCCTCAGTTTTTGGAAACCAGGAGATTTGTTATGGACCAGGATTAGGAAACCGGTCCTTTTCCCACGTACTAGTGATGTGGTATATTTCAACAGCCACTTTTATGCAGTCAGTTACAGTGGCTGCGTAAAAGTTTGTGATGTCATTGACTCTGAAACCACTAAAAGTCTTACCGTAGCACAGCTACCATCATGCTTTGATGGTAAGTATTACATCCTAGAATCACTAGGATCGTTATTTGTAGTTTCACAAAATGGTGTTGATATAAGGTACGTCAAAGATGATTGCGAAGATGAGGAGGAGGAGGAGGAGGAGAAGATGTACATGTACAAGACAAGAAATTTTCTAGTTTTCCAGATCGATTTAGATGCTTGCAAAACTATGCCAACCAGGGATTTAGGGGACCAAGCTTTTTTTCTGGGTGCTAATGCTTCTCTTTCAGTTCAAGCTTCTCGATATCCAGGAATCAAGCCCAATCATATTTATTTTACAGACAACTGTTTGGGTGCCTATCTCCACTTTGAAGAAGGAGGCGGCTTTGATATGGGGGTGTTCAACTTAGCAGATGGCAGTATCCAGCCGCATTATGATGGTGTTTCCCTCAGTCGTGTTTGTCCTCCAATTTGGGTCACCCCAAATCCATGTTGAGTGAGTCATTTTTCTATATTTACTCTTTATGTTGTTCTATATGTTCTTGTTTTACCAAGGAAGTAGATTTTAAAGAGTATTTACAACATGTCATTTACCTTAAGGCTTGGCTGATGCATCTTTGTCGTTTTCATATAATTGGACAAATATACTCCTATTAGTTGTTATACTACCTTGCTTCAAGGCACGTTGTGTTGGAATGTGCTACTAGCTTCTAATCTTCACTACATCAGTATTGTCTAATCTTTAGTGGAAACTTGCCCAAAATATAATAATATTGAGGTGCAATCACCATTGAGATTGATATACTAACGGAAAAGAAAGAGGTTGTAAGATTCTTCTATTACTTTGATTCAATAAACTGTTTCTTAGAGTTGTCTATTCAAGGGTTGCAATGAGTTTCTTCGCAGAAAGAATTATATGTTTGAGATGCTTCAACAGACTGTCATTCTGCACGTACTCGTTAGTCATTAGCCTCTCTTGCCTGAAACAATAGAAGCAAACAAGGCAAGATTTGAGATTCTTCATTTTGATGTATCCTCTACTTGAAGTCATTCTTTTAAAGTGCCCGACCCTTATTCCTAGTGACCGATGTTACATCAACTTTCACCTTGTAAGCACTTCCATGTCTTTCCTTCTCGACCAATTTAGCTGCAGCTTTAAGTACCTTTTTTCGAATCTCACTTTTCTGGACAAGAGGACTTCAAAAAAGTCGATGAGCGCACTGTGCTTTCTGGAGATGTTATTGAATACTCTCATCTGGACTTACTAGCAGAGACAACATTGTTGTTTTTGAACATTTTCTGCTTATACTCTTTTGTTGGAGCACTATTGGGTGAACGATATCCTCGTTAGCCCTCATCACTTACGATTACTCTTTAACTGGTATGTTTCGTTTGTTCTGGATATAGCTTTTGGCTGTTTATTTACCGCAAGTGTTCCTTGACAGGTATCCATTGAAGATGTTCAGATGAATTTTGAGAATCTTGTCCAGAAGCCGGTGCATATGACAAGTTATTTTGGATGTTCAAGAATGTAACTTTGCAGCTACACATCTAAAGCATGTAGAATTTCAACTGCTTGTTAATGTGTCTCTACTACTATCCAACTTTGTTATTGTAAGATACACATGACAAGGGTGAGGGTCTTTCGGAAACCGCCTCTTTATTTAGAATAAAGTCTGCATAGACTCTATCATCCTCCGACTCTATCAGTGGAATTATATTGTGTATAGGTGGTGTTAAAATGCACAGGGTCGTTATCGAGCTAGACGATAGTAGTCTTTTTTACCCTTTGGAGTGAGTATTAAAGTTCCCTATTGCCCTTACAAAGTTATTGTTGCTCATTTACTTGGAATGAATTCTTTAAGGCTGCCACAATGTGACACCTAAATTAGTTCATTGCTGATATTATGTCATAATTATTTTTATTACAATAATAATAATAATAATAATAATAATAATAATAATAAAATGATAATAATAATGTAGACTAACAAAATTGTTATAAGAAGTTCAAATAAAAGAGGTAACCCACTAAGTGTAATATTATAAACCATTTTTTTTTTATCTTCGTATAAAACATTTTCCAAAAATATGATTTTGTTTGCACCAAACCCAATTTGCACACCTTTTGATTCCAAATCAATACAAAAAATTTCTCAGTGATTTGAATTTATAATTTTAAAAATAAAAATGAAGTAAATTTATCATATCGAGATACTTAAACATTTTTTGACCCTTTTCTCTTCTGGAATTTCTTTCGCAATATCACCTTAATAAATAAATAAATTTTATTTAGTAAATTAAATATTACTAATTTAATTAAAAAGACATTAAAAAATAATTAATTTCAACTTTATATTTAATTATAACGCCAATTTTCATTTGCAATTTATTGGTTTATGATATTTTAATTTCTGAAAATTGCATAATCTGTTCTTTTTGAAAAGGCATCTTCTTGAAGTGAGTGAAGCTAGTGAATGCTCTGTGTGTGTATATCAAGAAGGAACAGGTTCTTTGTATTGTTGATATCAAAATCATGAGTAATCTTAAATCTTCAAGCTCTGAATTGGACTTCGATCGACCCAATCTTGAAGATTATCTTCCTACTGGATCCATACAAGAACCCCATGGAAAGCTTCGATTGTAATCCCCTCTTCTTCCTTTCTTATTTTGGTGCTTCAAATGTTTCAAAGTTTTGATTTTTATGTAACCCCTTTTGGTTTAATTGGTGTTTTTAGGCGTGATTTGCTTGATATATCTCCCACTTTGACTGAGGCTGCTGGTGCAATTATTGACGTGAGTCAAAATTTCTGTTATTGAATTTCAATCTTACATCGATCCATGACTGTAAATTTACTGATTGTTGCATTTCCATAAAAAGTTCAGCTTTACTTCCAATTGGGGTTTGAGGAGGGTAGGATGTACGCTGAGCTTACTGAGTATTTTTTCTGGGGTTGAGAGGTTGTTTTGATAGACTTTCGGATGAAAAGGGATGTTATGAAAGCAGACCTCAAATTTACTGATTGTTGCACTTCCATAAACAATTGACCTTTACTTACAGGTGGGATTTGGGGATGGTACGATGTACGCTGAGCTTACCCGTATCTTTTTGGGGCAGAGGGGTTGTTTTTGGTAGACTCTTGACTGGAAAGGGATGTTAAGCAGGGTTTCAAGAAAAATGTATCAACCAAACCGGAAGGCACAAAGCAAATGAGACAACAAATAGTGGTACACATAGAAGAATAGGGAACTATGTTATTACTAAATAGTACCTTACATAGCAAGATACAAAGCAAAGGGGAGGATGTACAAGTTGGGTCTCGGGAGGGGAGGATGTACGCTGAGCTTATCCCTACCTTTATGAGGGTAGAGAGGTTATTTTCGACAGATCCATTGGCTGATTAGGAATGTTATTGAAGCAGGATTCCAAGAAAAATGCAACAACCAAATAGGAAGATACAAAGCAAATGATGCAACAAATAATACTACACATAGAAGAATAGGAAGCTATGCAATTACTAAGTAGTAGTGTAGTACCACATATAGCAAGATACAAAGCAAATGAGCTAAGAATTGACCTCTACTATTTTTGGATTATTTCAACAACTTGGTTTTGGACTGCTCCTATAGTTTGAGAAAGTTTTAGATAGGCCACTATTTATTATGTCTGTTGAAAAGAAGTAGTTTGGATCTCAACCTAATTATTCAGGAAATCCCATTTGTTTATTTCATCATATCTTTCTCATCATAAGCTTCCTAGAGGTAATTTCCCCCCCTTCTATTAAGTGATATAATCACATCGAGGTTTTAGGAAATGAAAGGATTTAAAGTTACGAGAAAAAGTATTCCAATTTCATGCATGTGTCTTAGTATTCAACTTAAAGCTGTAGTCTTAATAGAACATAAAGGAGAAGGACTGAATTAGCGATATACTAGACATTCAACTTGGATGTCACTTTTGCTCTGTCAACTGCCCATTTGCTTGTCGCGTGCAAATTGATTTATTATTAACCACCATGACTGCAAAGTTGCCAATTCTTGCACTACCAAAAAAACAATTTGACCTCTACTTCTTTTGGATTTTGTCAAAAACTTTATGTTGAAGCTTGGCTTTTCAGTTTCAGGAAGTTGAATGTATCCATTTTCATTTCCGTATATCCATTCGTTTTTTGCAGGATTCTTTCACCCGATGCTTCAAGTCAAATCCACCAGAACCTTGGAACTGGAACATCTATTTGTTTCCTTTATGGTGCTTGGGAGTTGTTGTTAGATATGGAGTTCTTTTTCCTATAAGGTTTAGTCTCTTTAATTTCTTTTATTTTTCTCATTTGTGTCCTAATCATGAACTAATTTACTCACCTATTGCAATAGCTTTTCACTACCCCATTGAAAGCTCACTCTTTTCATCCTTCGTTTCTAATTCAATTGCAGAGTCATTGTCTTGACAATAGGATGGATAATATTTCTGTCTTGCTATATCCCCGTGCATTTACTTCTGAAAGGGCACGATAAATTCAGGAAAAAGCTAGAGGTATCTCTCTTGCTACCCAGTTTACTTAAATTTTCTCTTCTATTATTTTAAGTTGAGGACTGCACTTTGGTTGGCATTTGCTCACAATATGAGTATGATAACGTTTATCTTTATTCCTGGCCTTACTGTGGAGAAAATTATATTCATCTTATAAGGAATTCGTGAGTCACACATCGACACAAACATCACTCGCTTAGTGGAAAGGAACTCCATAGGTTAAGAAAGTTTTCTTTGGTAATTTTAGCTAATAAGCCTGTGCTGAACTAGGCGTAGAAAGAACTGCATGCTCAAAGAAATATGGTTAAGAAAAACATCACCCGCTTAACGGAAAGGAACTCCATAGATTAAGAAAAATTTTCTTTGGTAATTAGCCAATAAGCCTGTGCTGAACTAGGCGTAGAAAATGAACCGCATGCTCAAAGAAATATGTTAAGCTAACCAAAGAGTCCATCAGCTGCAATATTGTTCAGCATTCTGTCTTGTGAAATACTGAACAATTGGGTTCAAACAAGAGCTGTGCCTGTATGAGGAAACCAAGTTTAGTTCAGAAGACTTTGGCAAATTATGGCAGATATTGATACTGAAACTGGTTTTGAATAGAGCTTCTTATATATATATGCTTGTTTGTACAATTTGTTAAAGCCACTTTATTTACACTACGCTACTTGTTAAGATGATGGGGAGACTAGTTCTTTTAACTTCGCATGCACATAGAAATTACTGAAACTTGAGAAATATGATTTCCCAAGACATAGGAATATGTTCCTAAACAAAGAATTGAAGCAAGCACTGCAAACATTAGGAAATGCCATTAGCTATGGAAATGGAACACTTCACTATGTTGATTAGCTTTGGAAATCGCTTATTGTGTCTGGACCAGGTTTCTGCAACATCTGTGTATATGTTCAAGTATGATCTTGGATAAAAGATGTGGTGAAGCACATTGAAACATTACACGAGGAATCTGCTACATCTGTTTCAACTATTAGCTTTTGCAAACAAAAACAAAAATAGTCATAGAACAAATTCGGATGCACTATGCTCGTTTTTTTTTTCCAGCTGAAGCCTGAAGTTTCTGTCTGTCTTTCTTCTTTTCTTGGTTCACCAACTGACCTTTTTTTCCTTAGTAGCCGGTTGACATTCAAACAAAAACCATCCCAGACAATGCGACAGAGAAACTATCCCTAATTAAAAAAACTAATAGGCGGTATTTGATGGCATTATATGTTATGGAATACTATCCCTATGATGGAAAGAAACCAATCTACCAGTACTCAAGTATATAAAAAACGGCAGTATTAAAAAAGACATTCAAATCAAACAAGAATATTCAAATAAGAACTACAATACTCAAATCAACTTGAGTCATCCTCTGGCTCCCGACAGCCGACAGCGGCTTGACCCCCACCAAATTTTTGGGCCCACCTGAGTAAGATAAATTGGCAATATGTTAGGAAATTCTCTATTATGAATTAAGATGTCTAGACTTGCTTATTTTGCACTTCTGTTATTCCTTTGAAGAGTATGTATACATATTAAGGTTTCTGTTATCCCTTGCCTTGGTTAATTTTCTTAGAGGTGCCTGGTGGAGCTGATATGCAGTTTCTTTGTTGCATCTTGGACTGGGGTTGTCAAATACCATGGCCCACGACCTAGCATACGACCTAAACAGGTACATCTGCTGCTATAATTGAAATCTAACATGTGAACCATCTTCTTTGATACTTCTTAAGTCGCGTTATGCATTTTATTGACAGGTTTTTGTGGCAAATCACACATCGATGATTGACTTTATTGTCTTAGAGCAGATGACTGCATTTGCTGTGATCATGCAGAAGCATCCTGGGTGGGTCGGTAAGAGTTCTAAAGCATTTGCATTATTTGCTTGTTCTTTTTGTGTGTCATTCAAAAGTTTCTAAGCTTTAATATGAAGACATGCATATTAATGGCTAAACCTAAATATACAATCTTGTGATGGAGCATTTATAAAGTTAAGGTTTAATAACACCTCAACAGTAAAATTTTAAAATTTTCTTAGAACCTATAATTTCTGGTAATGATTCAAGAACAGGAGTTTGGAAAGGAATTTTGCAGATTTTGTCATGATAATTGCATAAGCTAATTAACAGATATTTGGGGCAGAGTGAGTGCATTGATCTGAACTTAGACTTGAACTTGGTTTACTTTACTAGTCAAAAAATACATAGGTATATATTGAAGCTTAGGTAAATATAAGTTGGCTGTGTAGACCCTCTTAACTTCTGGCCATGCTAGTTGGACCTTTTTTAATAAAAGAATATTTTTCTCAGACAAGACTCTTGTGGATGTTATTCTGCAAACTGCATAGCTAATTAGCAAAAATTCAGCGCAGAGTGCAAACTGAGTGCATTTGATGTGGAAAACAATTATTGAAGCTGAGTGTAACTATGGTTTGGCTGTCTATACCTTCTATTTGTTATCGTGCTATTTGACTTTCAATCAACAAAACCATATTGTTCATGATTATAAGAGTTTTAGCTTGATTAGCTCCAGGTTATTTTATATTGCTACCCTCTTCCTTACCTCTTTCACTGGGCAAGCAAATCTTGTTAGTATCTTGGACATGCAGAATTCAAAGCCTTGTTTGTACTAGTCTAGAAAAGACATTTCACCAGTTACTACTTTGATAATTGGTTATTTCTATGAATTTAGAATCTTGTATGCATAGAGTTTTATTAGATCACCAGGCCAATTACAATAAACAAGTTAACCAGATCTTCTTCACTGCCTACTGGTGCAGTCTACTATCTAGGCCAAAATTTAGTCTAACTTGCTAATCACTTACATCATTTCTAGCATTAGATTTGCTTATGTTCAGACCTTAAGGTGTATAAGGTGCTATACCCATCCCTGCTTAAGTGTGTCAATAGGGGCGATGCAAGTATGACCCTTGTAGTGTAATTCACCTTATCAGTAATGGAGGGGTGCTGTTCAATTGTTTCTAGGTATTTGAATTGTGTGGCACAACTGCACTATTTGTTGTACTTTGATTTCCGTATTATTTTGCTGTAGTTACTGATAAGAATGCTTTGTTATGCTTTCACTTCCGTTTATTCTTTTTGTGAATTCCCTCTCTACCTAAGCATGCGACCTTCAAGGGTATTAGGTTACCTTTCTATATGTACTTGAGAAGAAAAGTGACGCACATGCTTAGGGTACTTCAAGCTGCAAACTTGTCTTCGTATAACTGCGAGGATAAAATTTAGAAGTGATTCTTTGTCGCCTCTTCCTTGTATCAATTTCTCATTAGAAATAATATTTTTGCAGGATTACTGCAGAGCACCATTTTAGAAGGTGTTGGCTGTATCTGGTTCAACCGCTCAGAAGCCAAGGATCGTGAAATTGTAGCAAAGAAGTACGTGACGTCAGAAGAATCATTCTAGCATCTCATTTTGCACTTTTTTTAATCCCCTAATTTAATTTTTCAGGTTGAGGCAACATGTCGAAGGGGCCGATAACAACCCTCTTCTTATATTCCCTGAGGGAACTTGTGTAAATAACCACTACACCGTCATGTTCAAAAAGGTAGGCCCAATGAATTCATTCATTTATAAAAAAAAATTAATGGTTGAGCTCTCCTTGCCCCAAATTATAGGTCTTTTGAAAATCCCCCCTTCAACTACGAGGAGTTCTTTCTTGTGAGTAATTGGTTACAGAGGGAAACTGTAAAGTTACATTTTATGTTGTTTCTGAGTTTCAGTAATATTTTAGTATTTTTTTTCTTAATGTGGTTCTCCAAGTGTTTAAGCTTATGGTTTTTATGCCTCTATCCCTTTTCTTGCATGATGAATAGGGAGCATTTGAACTCGGCTGCACTGTTTGTCCTGTTGCAATCAAGTACAACAAAATTTTTGTTGATGCCTTTTGGAATAGTAAAAAGTAAGGTTTTCTTAATGCCAAATTGCTAATCTGGTTTGTTGGTTGGTATTCATTTCGTTATATCTATCTTCTTGAGAAATAACTGAAATGACAGAATTTTTTACCATAAATGAATTTCCTCTCCTGTTTTTGTTTGCTAAATTAAAGTTTGCCTCTCTTCTATTAAATGCAGACAATCCTTCACAACACACCTCTTGCAGCTCATGACATCTTGGGCTGTTGTCTGTGATGTTTGGTACCTGGAACCTCAGAACATAAGACCCGGGGAGACTCCAATCGAGTTTGCAGAGAGGTAAAATTTCCCATTCTGAAAAGCAGTAACTTTTGTTCCAACAGGGGCATTCAACTTATCAGATGTTAGAAATTAATTTTTCAACAGAACTTGTATTTAAGGAAATCCTTGCCAATTCTCTCTTTTCAGGGTGAGAGACATCATTTCTGTTAGAGCAGGTCTTAAAAAGGTTCCTTGGGATGGATATTTGAAATACTCTCGTCCTAGCCCAAAGCATCGAGAGAGGAAGTATGTTTTGCTATATTGCCCCCTCTCCCCCCTCAAGTAGTATAGACTTAATGCTTTGTGCTATTCAAATCCTTTCCTTTACCTCGAGGATTATGAAAGTTTGAAGTCACGGTTTGTTTGTTTTGTATCTCCAGGCAGCAGAGTTTTGCAGAATCAGTGTTGCGTCGCCTGGAAGAGAAGTAGAGAACTGGATGTATGCTTTGTCTCCATGTTCCACTCTTGCTTTGAGTTTGATTTTATTCTTTAAGTTTTTATTTTCTGTGGTCTGTAGGTGTTCACTTCTTAGCCATAGTTGACAGAATTTTTAGTACAAAGTTGGCAACAATGTCTGTGAAGCCCTTTGCTTATTTTGGATGTCCACACAAGATACATGAATTAAACCTTCTGTGTTTTTAGATTCTTGTGCTAATTACAGTAGCCCTTTTCAATATATGGGTATGGAGGAGTTTTTTTTTTCGTTCGATGTTTGATACTGCATTGAGTCTACTAATTTCAGATTCGTATTGGAAAGTCTCATGAAGGGGATAAACAACTCTCTAGCACAAACAACTTCGTAACTAGGAGAAGTTGAACCAAGGCTTGTCGTTAAGGGATGGATGAGTACTTACTATACATGTGTAGAGGGGTTATTTAATAAATTTCATAATTTTTCTATATATATTTATCTTGTGGTACAACACAATTTTTTTTCTTAAAACGATTTTCTTATTTTATACTTATAACTCACGTCCAAACTAATCATCAAACGACCCCCTAAGCAATAAGTTATTCATGTTTAAAATAATACGATATTTGATTCACGATTTAGAAATTCATATAATTAATATACGTATAAGCTATAAGGAATTAATCGATGTATATAATTATATTTTTTGTGTTAAGAAGATAGGCTAACTTTGTTATCTTTAAAGGGAATTCTTGTACTAATAATTGATGTATACTTTTAATTTTAAAATCATAATTCAACTATATCTTTTGTTGTATTTGACCAAATATTAAGAAAGAATTAGAAGATCTAATTTTCAAATACGGCTCAAACTAGTTTTTGGGTTTTCCACTTCAAAATCTATATCCAAATAATAATATACATTTCGATAATGCGATATCTATAAAGGACTTAACGATAATTTATTTTAAATACATTAAAAATGGACTAAAATAATACATAACTGAAAACATTTAAGATTGAATAGTAAAAGTGAAGATGTCCAAAATGTAACTGACAATTTTTGCTTTATATTCTTCCACACATTTCTCGAACAAAGTGCTTCATTGGAAGCTCCGCTACTCTCAGTGTTCTTCCTCCCGGCGAACACTGATGGGGAGCTCCGACCCTCTCAACGCCCGTCATCTCCGGTGAAACTCCGGTGCTAGAGCTCCCGGAGAACACTGATAGGGAGCTCCGCCGTCTCTGCTGAAAAACTTGGTTGATGAACAGTAACCGGTTTGCTTGTCCAGCTATCTTTGTTCATCGGGAGTTCAATTCATATGAATTAGGTATTTTCCATCCATTTGACCGATTTTATTAAATACTTTCGTCAGCTAGAGGATTGAAAATGAGAAAAATGAATGATTGGTTGGATTTTAACGTGAATTGTTGGTTGTAATTGTTAGACTTATAGATCTAATTGGGAATTACCTTAATTTTCGCATGTTTGCACATGGTGGCACTGTGTAGCCACCAACGACAATTTTAATAAGTAAGTTGCATAGGTTCCATGGCTTATGGTGGCTGAGGAATTGAATGATAACAAATGTAGGAAATTCTTAGTCTTTACAATAGCATGATTTGAAAAAGAGGATTCCGGGAGCCAGGGAAAATGATGTATGGAGTCTATGTGATGGGTCATCAGAGTCGGAGAAGAGGTGAAATCGGTCTGTTAATCCATTGTCTGGTGTTCAAATACAATTGCCACATCAAAATACCACCAAACATTATCAATCCATCAAGACTTTACAACCATGGACCTTTATACATAAAGCAGTTCTGACAGCTAATTCTTATCGATACGTCTGATTACATTCTCATGGTAATTGAGGGAAAACGTCCAGTCGCGCAGTTTATGCAGACCAGGAGATTTGTTATGGACCAGGATTAAAAAGTTGACCTATCAAGGCCATATCAGTGATGTGTTATATTCAGTGGCAACTTTTGTGCAACTGGTTACAGCGGCTAGGAATTTAGGGGACAAAGCTTTTTTCTTGGGTGTAATGCTTCTCCAAGCTTCTCAACTTCCGGGAATCAAGCCCGATCACATTTATATTACAGATGATTGTTTAGGTGCATACCTGTAAAGAAGTGGCGGCTTGAACATGGGGGTGTTCAACTTAGCAGATGGCAGTATACAGCCACATTATATGGTGTTTCCTCAGCTGCGTCTGTCCTCCATTTGGGTCACACCAAATCCTTGTTAAGTGAGCCATTTTCTATATTTAATCTTTTTGTGATTCTATATGTTCTTGTTTTACACCGGAAGTCAACTAGATTTTTTTAAATAGTATTCACAACATGTCATTTATCTTCAGACTTGGCTAATGCATCTTTTTGGTTTTCATATAATTGGACAAAGGTACTCTCACTAGTTGTTATCTTGCTTCAAGGTATGTTGTGTTGGATGGCTGAAGGATTTATCAAAGAAAATGTTATTTCATAGTGTTTTCTTTAGGAAGTTTCAACTCGTTAATAAAGTGTGAACATCTTTAATAGATTTGTATAAATTGTTCTTTTTGAAAATAATGGAACTTTCTGATGTCTGATTGGATTACTTGGAAGCCTCTTAGGAGGATCAACATTTCTATGATGCCGTTAAGACTAGGAAAAAATGATGACAAATATACTTATGGAGAAACAATTAAATGCAAGAAGCAGATGGTTTACTGTTGTTATGGACCTTTAATGTTGTGTGACTTAAGACTAAATTGTTTGGTTATCGTTTGTTTTTCTCTTTTATCGCATACTAAGTTTTGTTTGAAGTGATGATATCCATACTTGTATAATGATATGGTTTTATCATTATTCTGTTTCTTGTTGTTCTCCGTTATGTTAACCCTCCGAACATAGCCAATCCTACCTTATTGGATTGGTTAAGTCACAGTAATTATGAAAAAACAGGCTAGCACATATTTATGTAAACATACTTGGTATAAATCTTGTTTATCATATTTGTTGAGTTTAGAACAGGTACTTGGTATTTGAGTAATTTATTCCTCTTTTTGGTTAACCACGTAAATATTTTGGCTGTTTGCATGTGTCTTGTCGGCAATTTTTCATGTTTAACTCCCCATGAACATGAGACGTTTCGTACACTGGAATTTCTAATCTGTGATTTGAGTAAATCCATGGAATCTGAAAACTTTGAAGTTCAAAAAACAGTCTTGGAATAGGATATGAGGAAATATTACTCTTTTAACTGCTGTGTCTCATTTATTCTTGATATAGCTTTTGGTCGTTTATTTACCGTCACACTATCTTGACAGGCATCCTTTGATCCATCAAATCTAGTTACATCTGTTGATGTCCATAACATTTTTGAGAACCGTTCCTAGAAGCTGATGCATCTGAAGGAAGCCGATGTACTAAAGCTCTCGCTATGTACGGGGTTCAGGGAAGGGCGGAACCACAAGGGTTAGAAGCACAAACCTATGACTCAAGTTATCATGGATATACAAGAATGTAGCATAATTTGCAGCTACACATCTAGCGTAAGTTAGTTTTGTTGTTTATTGCTAAAGCATGTTGTATTTTAATTGATATTTGTATAAGGTGGAATTGTTGCTATTGTGCAACTACTATCTTACTTTAGCTTATCATATTGTGTTAGATATTATGAGACAGTGTGATCATGATACTGTTGAAGCTCAAAGGACTCCTTTGAGTTATTAATAGTATTCGTCGGATCAAAATTTCCCATTCCTCTTATTTCCTCTTTACAATTAGAAGGTCCGCGTCCAAGCTTCGAGAAAGGGGGTTTTGTAGTAACTTGTATCACTAACGGGTATGTTCAAGGTAGTGATAATGAAGGGGGCAGAAATAGAGCGATATGCAAATTAACTTGACATTAAGATGTATTTTGTTGTTTTAAGAAATGAATGATGATAAGCCTGTGCTTCACAAACAAGTTATACCTGGAAGTAATCTTCACCCAATGAGTATAAAGTGGGAAGGAAAAGGTAGAAGAAAGAGAAATTAATGATTTTTTCCTAGTAGAAATATATCAAGATACTATTACAAGTAATACATTAATATTTACAATTGTTTCAGTTTCTTGCTGCATCGCTTTTCGTATGAAGAATATGTGAATGAAAATAAAAATTAAAGGGCTCTCTGTAGCTAAACAATTTTTATTCTCAATCATAACTCACCAAAATGGTTATTTTTCGAGTTGATGTTCTGTCATCAGAATATCATAAACTAGGGGATCATTTGGTTGCTGGTTAGGAAGTTGAGTTAGGCATGTTTCAGAACTAGCGTAATTAGTACTATGTTTGATAGCTTTTTATTTGATATGTGGATAATTTATCACACCAAGTACTGTGTTTAGTTACCTAAAAGTAATTCATTCAAATAAATTAAGTTTAGAAAGGGATATATATCCGGGAAGCGGGAAATATCGGAACCAAAAAGGTAGGTATATGTACCAATTAATGAGAAATAGAAACTTGACCTAGTTTAGTCACTCATTTGGACAACTCAAACTAAAATCTAAAAAGATGGAACTTTTATTTATGATAGTTAGAACAAGTATAATCTATGCATATTTAAATACCATGTTAAAGTCTTTTTTAGTATACAAATTTGTAATTTTCCCATATAGCGACATAATAATGCATTCAATCTTCTGGTATCATCACCTTTTTATTTCAAGCTACAATTCATTTTAACTTTTCAACAAAGGTCTTCTTGTAACCGTTAAGAAACTACTATACGTGTCACAAAGTTACAGTTAACATTTTGAAAAGTAATTTCCTTGTATAGTCGTTACATTAGGAATAGCAAACAATTTTCAATTTTAAGTTTTTAGTTAAATGACACTAGAATTTTGTCTTATATTTTCTAACTTTGGATTAAACTATTTGAATTTTCATGTCTACCAGTAATTGTTGTAGTTGTATTGGATGTTGTATGAAAGTTGTAAATAAGTTGTGCATTTTATAATAGTTCTATATAAAAATGTTTTTAAGATGTATGATTTTGTATGTTTGAGGAATAACATTTCAATACAAATTTAGTACATACTGTACAGATTTTGTTTAAGTTTTGAAACAAGATTTATACAGTTATATACAAATTGCTTACAACATGTAGAGTCTTTTTCCAGAAACCAACATGAACTTCATACAAGATTTATACAATTATAGACTACTTCTCACAGAATCTGCATGAACTTGTGAGCGAGATTTGAAGCCTGATTTCGTTGATGTCTTGAAAGAGAAATCCTTTTATGTTTGGTAAAACGGAAAATTACGTTACTTTTAGTAAAATGAGGTCTAATTTCAAAATCCAAAACCAGATCATCTCGATTGTTTGACAAGTTGTTAGTGGCTGTTTAAGCTATTAACTTTGTTTTTGGGTAAATCTTCTTTGCTGCCTTTGTTTATATTTTCAGATTCATTTTATACACAATTTTCTTATACCTCTTTGACTATTATAGCTCCCAGTGCTCTCTTGATATTGGTTTTTGAAGAATTACTTAATTGGTGGTAGTGAAGCTGTAGCTTTTTAGAACCTTATGGTTTATTATTTCCTGAGGAATTTGTCTAGCAGGAATATAAACTGTCACTGTTGGAGAGTGAAGTTAACTTTTTTTTCAATTGTTTGAAGAATTGGACACCATATTAGTAAAAGTTTCCATCTTATTTAGAATCCTCTTGTATGAATTCCGGTTTTCTCCATTGATTATATTTACTCCTATGATTTGACGTTGCACTTCAATGAGCTAGAATCAACCTTGTTAGTTTGGTGAACAATTGGTGAGGAAAAAAAGGAGCATCATAGTATGGGTGTTATACTAAGTTTGTGTTTACTGTGAAAGTTTTATGGTTGTTAATTTGTTCTAATATTATATATCGCATTCCCTATTGATGTTTCAGATTGTAAATGACTGATTGCTCGGAGCTTCCACAGGATTTGTTGAGATTGATAGGTCATTGTCTTATTACATATACCAAGTCCAGTTCACATGTGTTTGAACTTCATGGAGGTCAGTATTACCAACTATTTCCAGTATTGAGGGAGTTCATCCATGCTTGCTGCTGCCTCATGACGATTTGTAAAAATGAAAAATTTCTTATTAGCATACATGAGAGAAGAGTAGTTTACTATCTTGAGATCCCGGAGGTCCTTGGTAAGGAGTTTCACGCCTCACGGTTCATCCCAAGGATGGTTAATTTCTAATTTTCTATTGAAAAAGACTCCTAAAATCTGTCTAACCTGATCACTGGTTGAAATCACCCTTCCACCGAGGTATAAGTACCCGATGTGAGAAAGTATTGTGCTAAGAAGTTTGAAACTGAATATTTGCTTGAATTCCATGATGGACAGACATTTTACTACCAGTGATCTGGCAACCCACCTTTTATTCAAAGTAGTACTATCTTCATGTCCTGCCTCTAGCAAAGTTGACTCTTTGTTTGTCACCATCTATGGTGGTAATTATACCTTGGCCTACTGTAAACCTGGAGATAATAAGTGGATATCCATTTCCAAAACAGGATAGCATGATGCCATCTTTTATCACTACCAGAAAAAATGCCTTTAATGACAATTATTTAGTGGCAATCAATTAAATGCCACTAATTTATTTCATTTGTGCAACAATTATAGCAGCAATTAGAGTAATACAAATAATTGAAAGCGAGATTTTCCTAATTTTATCTCCCCTCCATCTTTTTGTATATTCCCTCCCTCTCCTCGATTCCTCATTTTCCTCCTTGTAAACCTAGAACAGACAGAAACCCAAAATCCTTGTTGCTTGTTGTCCGATTTTTCAGTATATCTGCAATTTTTCATCAGGAATTTTGGATTTGTGGTGGATTTTTGATATTCTGGATGGGAACGATGCGTAAGAGGAAGGTGAGCTTGTTTGATGTGTGGATGACTCGTCGGCGTCAACAAAGAAAGCCAATAGAAGCTTAAATGGTGTAAACACAACAAGTGATACGAAATGCCTTACAGAGATTCGATGAAATTTTGGGGAAGAGGAAGACTCTTCCCATGTGGCATCAAAAAGAGTAATTCTCTATCACCGGTTGTCATCACCAGGTAATTCAAATCACCTCTCCCTCGCTCAATCTATCTCTATCTCTATCTCCTCCCTCTGTTTTGATATTTCTTTATTGTTGATGGCTCTTTTTTTTCTTGGCTATCAACCTTTCCTCTCGTGAGTTTCTATTGTCGCTGGCTTACATACTCGAGTCATAGGTCTGGTTTTGTTTTTCTCCATCTTTGTTGATTTTCTATTTCTAATTAATTTTTGTGCATCTAGTGATCTGCTTTAGATTATGTTCAATTTCTTTAGTGACATTTATAATACAAGTACCAAACTGCATATAGTTGTATGTTGTGTGGTTGAGATGGAATAACTCTGACTCCTATCCCATAACAAATCCGCAGGTCTCCTAAAACCGAGGAACTGGTAGTGTCCCTTAATGACCATGAGGACATAGTCAAGATGTATGAGAAGAGGATTAGCTGATAGACGTTCATGGTTCTGAAGTCTTGTTGGGTCTATAATGTTTGGTGTTATTCTGATGTGGCAACTGGATTTGAACACCGGAGAATGGATGCAACAGACTGATTTCACCCTCTTCTCCATCTATGATGAGCCATTCCATAGATTCCATACATCGTTTTCCACTGGCTCCCGGAATACTCTTCTTCATAATCATGCCATTGTACAGACTGAAGAATTTTCTACATGTTTTATCATTCTCGTCCTCAGCTAGCATTAGCCATGAAACCCTTGCCAAATTACTATTAAAATTATCCTTGGTGGCCACAGAGTGCCACAATCTGCAAACAGTGCGGAAATTAAGGTAATCCTCAATCAGCTTTATACGTCTTACAATTACAACCAACAGTTCACGGTTAAGCTCCGACCAATCAGCCATTATTCTCATTTTCAAGCCCTAGCTACCGAAAGGATATAATAATATTGGGGCAAATGGTCGAGTATCAAGCAATTCTCAGAAATTTTTCTTTTGCCATTTTATACTAGATTGTTGAGAAAATGATTTTTAATGTATGGAGGGATTCTGGCCTAAATTATCCCTTTTGGTGGTAGGCTTTACTTTGTCTTTTTCTCTCTAATGCCATCATGAGTACTATTTGTCCTTTGTTCAAATTATCAACTATGTTGGTTTCTTTATCTATGCCTTCCTATTGAACAATTTAGATTCTTAATTTGACTCCATTTTTTTAAGTTCAAATGGCATTAGAATTTTGCAGATACAATTTGCAAGTTCTTTTGTGATGGCCAGCATTATGGCATATGCTGCAATTCGACAAAGTCTGTCTCCTTTTCAGTGTAAATTATATCTTAACCATGGTGTAAAGCCATCGCGCGATAAATATAGAACTCAACAAGGTTGTGGTCGAATCTTGAGGGATTTTGTGTGTTTTGTGAAAGATGAATTTGTATTGTCTCTAATCAAATAAATTAACCTTTACTTGAAATTTGTTGGTTTTTTTGTACTAGGAGGAGCAACAATTAACTAGACAATTAGAAAGCAAAGTAATGAACTAATCACAGTAAGCAATAATTTGTTGTTGGAAATTTTGAGGGGTCACTAATATATACGCTATTAGTGGCGACCATTACAGGCATTTGCAGCGACTGCTTTGCTACTAAAAGATACTTTAGTGTCACCTATTATAGGCATTAGCAGCGACTAATATTGCTACTAAAACATACTTTTAATGGTGACTATTTTATGTATTTGCAGTGAATAAAGTTGCTACTAAAACATACTATTAGTGGCGACTATAATAGATATTCACACTTTCACAGCGAGTAATGTTGCTTCTAAAACATACTTTTAGTGGCGACTGTTATATGTATTTGCAGCGATTTATGTTGCTAAAACATACTATTAGCGGTGAATATAATAGGTATTAGCAACGAGTAGCGACTATTGGGAATACTTTTAGTGGCGACTATAATTGCTACTATAACAAACTATTAGCAGTGACTACTGTTGCTACTTAAAAGTACATTCAAACATATTTTTAGTGGCGACTATTATAGATAGTAAGCAGCGACTACTGTTTCTACTAAAATGTACTTTTCGTGGAGACAGTTATGTGTATTAGCAGTGACTATTGTGGCTACTAAATCATAATATTAGTGGCGACTTTCATAGGTATTAGCAATGACTGTTGTTGCTACTAAATCATATTATTAGTGGCGACTTTTATAAGTATTAGCAATGACTATTGTTGCTAGCGACTATTTTGCTACTAAAACATATTAATAATGGCGACTACAAAAGGTATTAGTGGCGACTTTTATAGGTATTAGCAATGACTATTGTTGCTGGCGACTATTATGAGTATTAGCAGCGACTATGTTGCTACAAAAACATATATTAGTGGCGACTACAAAAGGTATTAGTGGCGACTTGTTGCTACTACAAAAACATATATTAGTGGCGACTACAATAGGTATTAGCAGCGACTATTGTTGCTACTAAAACATATTATTAGTGGCGACGGAAAAGGTATTAGCATCGACTAATGTTGCTACTAAAAACATGCTATTAGTGGCGACTACAAAAGGTATTAGCAGTGATAATGTTGCGACTAAAACGTATTATTAGTGGCGACTACAAAAGGTATTACTAGCGACTATTGTTGCTAGTTGCTACTAAAACATACTATTAGTGGCAACTATTATAGGTATTAGCAACGGCTATTGTGCTACTAAAACATACTTTTAGTGACGACTATAATAAGTATTAGCAGCGGCTATTGTGCTACTAAAACATACTATTAGTGGCGACTACAATGGGTATTAGCAGCGACTGTTTTTGCTACTAAAACATACTACTAGGGCGACTATGCAGCAGCTAATGTTGCTACTAAACATACTTTTAGCGACGACTATAATAGGTAGTAGCAGTGACTACTGTTGCTACTAAAACATACTATTTGTGGCGACTATTATAGGCATTGCGACTAATGTTGCTACTAAACTTGTAGAAGATTCTTCTGTCTCTATTATGGGATGATTTTGAAGAAGAGGAAAACGATGTATGAAGTCTATGGGATGGTAGTTCACTATCAGAAAAGACGAGGGGTGAAATCAGTGTGTTACATTGCATCTCTGGTGTTCAAATTCAGTTGTCGCATCAAAATACCACCGAATATTATAGACCCAATAAGACTTCAAAACCATGGACCTTAATCCATAAAGGAGTTCTGTCAGCTAATTCTTCTCATACACTCATGTTTTCTCATGGAGGTAGAGACCAAATAACACATTACTAACAAAAGAATTTCAAGAAATGTTGAAACTTTGAGATCTCCATTACTACCAAAACTTGATTTTCTTTGTTATCTATAAAACCAAAAATTAGAACTAATTGTGTTTCCCTTGTAGCAAATTTTGAATAAATGAACTAATGGATGGTAGATGTGCCAGCAATTATCTGCCCAATACATGCGAGAAACCAGGATTTCAACTTTATGGCTTCTGGATTTTAGGACCAGAACTTCAAGTGCTAATAACTAGAATATACATCTAATGTCTAAGGTATTAGTAGCCCCTGAACTAATTTTTAAAAAATAATTTTGTATACCTTTTTTGCTTACGTGGCATCCAAATATATCTCACGCATCTCAATCGTGTAGAATCACGGTATGTGCCATATAAGTCAAGGGGCGTACAATATTATATATAAAATGAGTTTAAGAGGGTTTGAATATTACTATAGATTTCAATATTACTATAGATTTCAATATTACTGTAGATTTCAACTCTCCCATGACCATAATTAACATAGATCATACATTTGCCAAGATAATCTTTTTGATACCTTGAGATCATATATACAAAAATGGCTTACAACTCCATAACATAGGTAATATTAGGTCTAGACCATATGTTACCCTCTCTCCCCATTTAGATCATCTCTCATATATATAATTTTTACTGTTTTTATTTTTTGAAAGAAGAGTTTTTCGACAAATCTATATACGTTTTCCCGATCTTTATTATATTTTTATATTTCGATTGTACTTTTGTAATACGGAGGAGGGTTTTTTTGACAATCACTATATTTATATATTGATTATGCAATATTTATTTTATTTGTATCATTCATTACATACACTCTCATTTTAATGTATTTCGTTATATCAAAACCCCATACAGATGATGGTGATTATAAGCAAATGAATACAAGTGATACGAACGAAAACGATAGAATACAATATAACAAATAAATTATAACGAATAAATGCAATCTTTGATATTAGTTTTGTTGGTTATACCATTATACATGAATTTTATAGGTACAAGTTGTTAATAAGGGGGAAAATTACATGGGATGGCAAACATCCATATGTAATTAGTTAATAAGGGTATAGTTTAATTTATTTACGGTCAGTAAATACAATTTCAATTTTTTTGCCATAATTAATGGAACCCACTATCTATTTGTATACAAAATAAAAATAGTCATCCAAAGATTTTTGTATAATTTTATTTAAAATCAAATTTATCTCTCCTATTCTCATTCCATATCTTTTCCTAAAATTACTCTTCCCTTCTAATTTGAATTTCCATTGGAAAAATTTTGACCTTCTCTCTCCGATGTTCTTCCATTTTCGTAGGTAATTGCCAAAATCACGGCTTTCAATATTTTTTTTCTTGATTCCTTCTAAAACAATTGTATATGTAGTATGATTGTTAGTTTTTTTCATATTTTTATTAAAAAATCTTTATTACTTATTAATTTACAAGTCTTTCAAAATCAGAATAGATGATTTCTGTCCATGTATGAGGATTACGAGAGGTATGTCATTGTATGTCAATGTTGTTGATAATCCACATTCGTTTCAATTAGGTTAACTCATGATTCTGGGTTAATGTAGAGTCTATGGCAAAACATAAACAAGTTTAAGTTGAACAATCTATTGAAGAATTGAGATCCATGAAAAAAAAATGACTCAATGGCGATTCATAAAATCATCAACAACGGAAAATCTAGCGACATTAAGATTGTTGAAGGTGGAAGTAAGAGAAAAGTCATAAACATTGATTCAGAAGAGATTGAATCTGCCTCATCAGAACTGGACAAATCTGAAGAATATCGAGAACATCAGATAGTGTAATTTATATACAAATTACAAAGTTATGTATATAGTGGTTTGTATATTAAGTTAATATATACAAAGTATTATGAAACGCTTCTTAATTGTATATACTATTAGTTGTATACCAATTGCTAAAGTTAGGTGTATAGTGGGTTGTATATTAAGGTAACATATACAAAGTCTTATGAGGCAATAACTATTTGTATACAATTATTTAATTTTGTATAAAGAAATTTGTAAATCACTCTATAATATTATAATACATTATACAAATTCGTCGATATATACAAAAAATTATGAATATAATAAAATATTGTATATATAAGTGTTACACCCTCAAATATAGAAACATATTTCAAGCTTACTATATATACAATTAACAAATGCATATTATATACAATTAGTTTAATCATTAATATTTTTTTTTAAAAAAAAAAAAAAACATGAAATCACAGATGCACATATATAACTATATTATATATACCAAAATTATTGTACATTATACAAATTTCTAGAATTATAAAGAAAAAAATAGGAACATACTAAAATATTATATAAAAAAAGATTACCTAAGAAAAGTTAAAAGAATATATGATGGTCATATACAGTTTAAAACACAAAATCAATTACACACAAATATTATATAAAAATTATATACAATTTCGCAAGTATATACAATATAATCAATTTATATATAAATATATCTCTGTATGCGTGTGTTTCATAGATTTATCTAAAAAAATATTTGATTTTGAACTGGTATTGTCAATCTATAGCTTTAGAATTCTTTTTATGGGGAAATACTTAATTTTAATGTTTTGCTTAAATCATGGGATTATGTAAATTTATTGTTAGCATCTTTTGTGCTACTGTTACCATTTATTGAAAAATAATTATTTTTGTATATATTTAATTAAAAAAATGTTTTATACAAATTTAGAGTCACCTAACAAACTAAACTATACCCATGGAATGTAATTACGTAAACTATACTCATAGAATGTAATTTCATAACATCCGTTTGTCATATATGAAGTTAATAGTTAGTCATTTATGTTAAATATAGGATCATTTTTGATCATTTTCATAAGTAGAGGACCATTTTGATCATTTTCATAAGAAGAGGACCTTTTTGATCATTGTCATAAATAGAGGACCATTTTGATAATTTTCTAAACAATTTACTCTAAGTAAACACAAAGTCTAAAAAATTTGTTTGAGCCAAACACATCTTTCACAGTTGTGCTTCTAATAGGTGTTCTGGAGAGCTCCGCCAATTTCATCGCCGTCACCGCTGAAAAAATTGGTAGATCGAAGAATTTCCGGTGTGCTTCTTCAGTCTCCGTCATATCAATGTTCATCGGGAGCTTGAGATTCGCATAAATTAGGTATTTTCGGATAATTTGCCCAATTTTGTTAAATACTTTTGTTAGATAGGGATTGAAAATGAGAACAATGGTTGATTGGTCTGAACTTCATCCTGAATTGTTGATTTTAATTGCTAAACGTATAAATTTGATCGAGGACTACCTTAATTTTCGAACGGTTTGCAAACCATGGTACTCTGTAGCCACTAGGGATAATTTTAGTAGTAATTTGCCTAGGGCTCCCTGGCTAATGTTAGCTGAGGAAGAGGATGATAGAACACATAGAAAATTCGTCAGTCTGTACAATGGGATGATTTTGAAGAAGAGGATTCCCGGAGCGAGTGAGAAGAGATGTTTCGAGTCGAAAGGATGGCTTGTTACAGTTGGAAAGGATGAGGGTGAGATTAGTTTGTTACAACCCTTCTCTGGTGTTAGAATTGAATTGCCACATCAAAACACAGCTGCTTTTTATGAACAAAACAGAACTCACGATCTGTGGACCTATATCCATAAAGCAGTTCTGTCAGCTAATCCGTCTCATACGTCGGACTATGCTCTCATGGTCGTTGAGGGAAGATTCGAGAGCCTCAGTTTATGGAGACCAGGAGATTCGTTGTGGACCAGGATTTGGATCCCCGAGCACATTGGACATATTAGTGATGTGGTATATTTCAGTGGTCACTTTTATGCCGTCACTTTTGGCCGTTGTGTCCTAGTTTGTGATGTTGTTGGCACTGATCTCACTAAAGTTTATTGTGTAGCACATCTTGCACCATGGGCTGACGGTAAGAATTACATCCTAGAATCACTAGGATCATTATTTGTAGTTGCGCAACAGTTTGTTGATATACGTTATGTCAAAGAGGATCGTGAGAGTATTCCACCGACGCGCATCCCAGGTGGAGATGAGGAGAAGGATCAGATTTGCACGTACAGGACAAGAAGATTTCTAGTTTTCCAAATCGAGTTTTCTAGCTGCAAGGCTATACCAGTCATGGATTTAGGAGACCAGGCTTTTTTCTTGGGTGCCAATGCTTCTCTATCAATCCAAGCTTCTCAATTTCCAGGAATCAAGCCCAACTGTATTTATTTTACAGATAACTGGATTGGTGCATACCTCTTCTTTGAAAAAGGATGCGGTTTGGACATGGGTGTGTTCAACTTAGCAGATGGCAGTATCGAGCCGTTTTATGATGGTATTTCTGTCAGTCGTGTTTGTCCTCCAATCTGGGTCACGCCAAATCCATGACGAGTGAGTCATATTTTTATATTTACTCTTTTTGTTATTCTATATCTTCTTGTTTTACCCCGGAAGTCAATTGGATTCCTCACCAATTTCAAAATGAGTTTCACACAGGAAGAATAAATATATGTCAGATATGCTTGAAGAGACATTCATTCTGCATTTAGTAGTACTGTCATTAGCCTCTCTTGCGTGAAACAATAGAAGCAACAAGGCAATTTTGAGATTCTTCATTTTGATGTATCATCTTCTTGAAGTCATCATTTAGAAGTGCAACCCTTATTCCTAGTGACCGGTGTTACATCAATTTTCATCTTGTAAGCACTTCCATTTCTTCCTAATCGGGCTAGAGTTTAAATTACTCTTTTGAATCTCACCCTTTTGGCCAAAGAGGACTTAAAAAAGTCGATGATGGTATTGCGAGAGATGTTATTGAATAATGAATACTCTCATCTGAACTCACTAGCAGAAACAATGGTGTTGTTTTCTAACATTTTCTGTTTGTACTCTTTTCTTTGGAGCACTATTGCTCTCTTTTCTCATTGTTTCTCTTAAACATTTATGCAAGTTGAATAATGTAAATCGGTCCAAAAATAGCATTAAACATGATAGAAACTGAAGGAGGAGGTTGCTGTAACTGAACATGTTCTTGCCAATGTCCCTCTACCTAATCCTTCATTACCCTAAGAACTGCTAGAACTGAAACTGAAATCGCCAGAGACCAAACTACTGAAATTTTTGTAGACGACGTTGAATTTTCTGCCTACTCTAGCCGGTCTTTCTCATCCAAAAAGATTAGCCAACCTGAGATACTTTCATTGATCCTATATAATATCTGTATAACATTCCTCCTCCATTACAATTTTTTTCTCTAATATCATCCTGAAAGAAACTTGAACTTGCTGGCAATATGTATAATAAAAACCGAATTTTATACTATATTTTGGTCTGGCAAAAAGCTTCATGGGGGATAATAGTGAATAATAATAATAATCAAAAGGAACAGATGGCTGGAGGATTTATAAAGAAATATAATTTTCCTTGGTGTTTTATAGATTAGTAGATTAATTTTCTTTTTTGAAGATAATTAGGAACTTTTTGATGTCTCATTGGAATCTTGAATTACTTGGGAACCTCTTAGGTGAATGAACATTTTTATGATGACGTTAAATTAGGAAGAGACGATGATAGATATACTGATGGAGAAAGAAATAAATGCAAGAAGTAGATTGTTTATGTTGTTCTGGACCCTTAATGATGTGTGACCTTAGATGAGATTGTTTGGTCCTTTTCTGTTTTTTTGTTTAGTGCTTACAGTTAATGCTGTGTTGATAAGAAACCGCTCTATTATTGCCAGCTAACGTTTGTTTGAAGTTATGATATTGATACTTGTTATATCATCATATTTTTTCTTGTAATTTCTCTGTTTTGTTAACCTGTCCTACCTTATCGAACTGGTTAAGTCACAGTAATTAGATAGTAGCAGGCTAGCAAATATTTATGTAAACGTACTTACTATAATCTTGTTTGTCATATTTGTTGAGTTTAGGACAAGTACGTGAATATTTCACTCCACTATTTGGTTAACTATTTATTATGTGAAGTTTTTGGCTGTTTACGTGTCTTGTCAACAATTTTGCATGTTTAACTCCCGATGAACATGAGAAGTTTAGGCTGGAATTTCTGATCCGTAATTTGAGTAAATCCATGGAAACTTACACTTTAAAGTTCAAAAAAACATCCTTCATAATAGGATATAAGGAAGATGACCACTATTTAAATGATTATTGGATGAAGGAAATGCAAAAGTAGAATCAATCTTCTCATTGTTGCATTAGTTACTGGTTAACTGGTATCTATATAAATATTGGATGAACGATATTCTCTTTATCCGTCATCCCTTACTATTACTCTTTAACCGGTAAATCCCATTTATTCTGGAGATAGCTTTCGCCCATTTATTTACCGCCACATTTCCGCAACAGGTATCCGCTGATCCATCAAATCCAGTTACATCTACTGATGTTCACAAAATTTGCAAATCTTGCCCAGAAGCCCAGGTGAAGCGCAGGTGTATGACTTAAAGTTGTTTTGGATGTTCAAGAATGTATTATAATTTGCAGCTACACATCTAGTGTAAGTTTTGCTGATTATTGCTAAAACTTGTCGTATTATAACTGCTATGTACAAGGTGAAATTGTTACTGTTGATCAACTACTATCTAACTTTAGTTTATCGTATTTTGTTAACTATTGTGAGACAATGCAATCATGTTACTATTAAAGCTCACAGAATTCCTTTGGGTTATCTTACAATTACAAGGTAGTCCCTGTTCTAGCTTTGAGAGAGGGGTCTTGTAGTAGTAACATGTATCGCTACGAGCACTGTTCAAGGTATAGAAAATAAAGTGGGCAAAAATGGGGAGCAATATGCAAATTAATTTGAGACTGAGACATAATTTTTGTTGTCTTTCCAATGAATTATGATAAGCATGTGCTTCAGAAACAAGTCATACCTAAAAGCATTCTTCATGCGATGAATATAAAGGGGTAAGGAGAAGGTAGAAGAAACTAATGAGTTTTTCCTAGTGGAAATATATGAAGATACTACTACAACCAATACATTAATACTTGCAGTTGTTCAACCTCTTGTTATGTCGCTTTTCGTACATAAATTATGTGAGTTGTAAATAAGATATATGGGCTCTCTATAGCTAACATATTTTATTGTCAGTCACAACTCTCACCAAAGTGATCATTTACTGGGTCAATCTTGTGTCATCAGAAAATCACAAACTAAGGGGTCATTTGGATGTTGTTAGGAAGTGAAATTATTCATGTATTTAACAAGCATAATTAGAACAATGTTTGGGAGCATTTTATTTGTATGTACAAAATTTAGCACACCGAGTACGGTGTTTAGTTACTTGTTGCAATCCTTCATAACTAATACATGAATAAGTTATGAGGAAATTTATGTATTATTTATGGACGGTAGAAGATGCAGTAACTAATCTATAGGTAAGTACCTAACTAATCCCCGTATTGCAACAGAGGTGGCTCAATAAAATTGATGCCCTTAAGCCAAAGCTTAATAAGATATTATAAAAAAATTTAAATAAAATTTATGATTTTTTTTCTAAATTTACTCTTTGAACTTTTTAGATGCAGAGGTATATATTTATACTATCCTTTTTATTTATTATTACTTGTTGAAATGCATGTATAGGCCTAAGTTGTTAAAAAAATTGTTAAAGGAAAAGGCTTGAAAGAAGTTAGCCATTTAAAACCCTACTAACCCACGAGACCCCGTCCATGGACCGTTGGTCATTCTACGGACCATAGGTCGGGTCCGTGGGCCCAAACCACACAAATCTTTTGCTAAGTGTTGAACCACGGTCTGGACTACGGTCCGTCGTTCCAAATTAATTCATTAAAATATTTCTTCAGATTGATACTAAATTAGTTGATTTAAAGATTAAGTTCAAATGGGAATATGAAACTATCACAAACTGCAAAAAGGAGAATAAACGAATGGTGGAAAAATCTGAACCAACAAGGTAGATAGATATATGTACTGATTACTGTGTCGTGACATAGTAATTTATTAAATCTTCTTTTCATATCACCACCTTTTTATTTCAACCTAAAATTAATTTCAAGTGTTCAATAAAAAAATTCTTATAAGCTAATAAATTCCTATATGTATCACAAAGTTACAATTTATATTTAAAGAAATTCATTATTTCCTTACATAGTCACGCCATTAGTTGAAGTTGTCACTTTATGTAGAATCTTCTTGTATGAATTCCTATTTCCTCCATTGTGTATGTTTACTTCTATGATTTGGTGTTACACTTCAATGAGCTAGAATCAACCTTGTAAGTCTGGTGAATAATGGGTGGTGTAAAAGGAACATTTACTACATGTAGCAATATTTTCTTAGAATTAACTACTTTGCTAAAGCTATATCTTGATGTTCTAAAACAAGATTAAGATAGATGCGTTAGTTCTTGATTTGTAACAAACAAGATGTGTACTTAGTGATTATCTCTTTTGGTTATTATACTAAGTCTGTTTGATACTGTGAAAGTTGGTATGGTTATTTTTTTGCTCTAATATTATATATCACATTCCCTATTTATGTATCAGGTTATAAGTGGCTGGTTGGTCGTGGCTTCCACAGGATTTGTTGAGGTTAATTGCTCATTCTTTTGCTACATACACTGATCCAGTCCAGTTCACATGTGTTTGTAATTCATGGGGTCAGTGTTACCTACTATTTCGAGTATTCAGGGAGAGTTCAGCCGTGGTTGCTGCTGCCTCGTGACAATAATACAAACGCAAAAACTTGAGAAGCATCTTAATAGCATACATGAAAAAAGAGTATTCACTACCTTGAGGTCCCAAAGGTCCTTGGTAAGGAGTTCCGCAGTTCGTCCCGCGGAGGGTTAGTTTCTACTTTCTATTAAAGACACCTACAATCTGTTTAACCCAATCACTAGGGGTGAAATCACCTTTCCACCGAGGTATAAGTTCTCTGATGTGAGAAATATTGTGCAAAGAAATTGACACTGAAAATGCGCTTGAATCCCATGATGTGACTTTATTCCTTTCGGCGGATCTGGTCAACGCTCGTCTTTTATTCAAAGTTGTCCTATCTTCAAGCAAAGTTAATCTATGGTTGTTGCCATCTATGGTGGTAATTATAACTTCGCCTACTGCAAACTCGGAGATAAAAGAAGTGGTTATCCATTTCCAAAACAGGATACCACAATCCATCTGTTATCACTGCCAGAAGAAACGCCCTTTAGTGGCAATTAATTGAATATCGGTAACTTTCCTTTTGTTCTACTAGTAGCAGCATTTGGAGATTAGCTGGGAATAAAGACCTTTTCACTGGTTATTGAAGAAAATAGCCACAGAAAGTTGATACTGAATGCAAATTATTGGAAGTGAATTTTCCTAATTTTACCTTCCCTTCCTCTCTTCATTTTCTCCTTGTAACCTGAAATCATATCTCCCGTTTTCTGATTTTTCAGGTGTATCTGCAATGGTCTCATTGGGGATTTCGGATTCGTGGTGGATTTTAGATATTCTGGATAGGAATGATACGGAAGAGGAAAGACAAGTAAGCTTTTTTGATGCGGTGGATGACTCGTCAGCGTTGGCGAAGAAAGCCCACTGAAGCATAAATGGTGGAAACAGCATGACACCTGATGTTTGATCAACAAGTGGTACGAAAAACCTTCTCACAGAGATTCTATGAATTTTGGAGAAGAGGAAGACTCTTCTGGTGTGACATCACACAAAAAAGTTCTCAAGATGATTAATATCCAATCATTGGCAATGCCTTCTCTGTCACCGGCTTTTTTCACCAGGTATCCGAATCATCTCTCCCTAATACTATCTTAATCTCCTCTTTAGTTTTGATTTTTCTTTATTGTTGATGGTCTCTTCTGTCTAGCTCTCAACCTTGCCTCTCGTCAGTTTCAATTGTCGCCTACACACCCTGAACCCTAAGCTTGTTTTTCTTTTTCTCCCTTTTCCTTTCTATTTTTGTTTTTTCATTGATTTTCTATTTTTAATAAATACTTTATGCATATACTCTTCTGCTTTAGATTATGTTCAATTTCTTTAACGATTCTTATAATACAAGTACTAAACTATGTGCATATAGTTGTATGTTATGTGATTGAGATAGAATATTTAGTAAGGGTTGTAACACTTAGCTATAAACTTAGGAAATGACACTGCTTGATAAATCTAATGGAAATTTTGCTTCGTTTTTCCTATCTACAGCATATGTGTTGTTCTTCGGTGGATTTGGTAATAATTATGTTGGAGTACTAATTGGGAGACAAGAATATGTATATGTGGGAGACTACTTGTTATTGCTCATTTGGCAGCAAGTGTCATTTCTCTTGGATTTGAAAATATTGTTTGTGTTTTCGTGGCTGCTGATATGTTGAAGTCTATTAATTTTCAATAGATAGCAGGGGATGTAGCTCAAATGGTAGAGCGCTCGCATTGCATGCGAGAGGCACGGGGTTCAATCCCCCGCATCTCCATTCATTTTTCGTTTGATCTCTATCTCCATGAGGTAGGGGTAAGGTCTGGGTACACTCTATCTCCCAGATCCTAATCATGGAATTTCACTGGGTATGTTGTTGTTATTAAATTTCAATAGATAATTTACTTCCTTTTGTTATATGGTTTTCTGCTCTCTGATCTTTTTCAGAAAATTGCTGAGTTGGCTCACTCACATGGGTCTCTTGTGCTGGTAGATAACAGTATATGTCCCATGTACCATCCCATCGTTTGGACCTTGGAGCAGATCTGCAGATACTTTTAGTTCTGGTAAATTCTCAAGGTGCTGATTACCTTTAATGATCTGTTATTATCAGATATTGTGATGCATTCAGCAGCTAAGTTTGTATCTGCCCGTAGTGATCTGATGGAGGGTGTATTTGTTGTCACAAGGGAAAGGGTTTCATGGATTAATTTACGCTTATCATATGATTTCTCATCATCCTTGGTGCCCTTGAGTTGCTTTCATGGCCAAAATTATCAGATTACCCTGATTGAACTAAAAAAGAAAAACCACTCTTATTAATAAGCTCCTTTACTCCTTTAGTAGATTCAATTACCTGAAATCTCAATTACTAAATATCTGTTGCATAACTGGTCTATCGGGAAATTATTACCTCAATGGAACTATAGAAATATCTAAACAGTTGTAGTTTGGAGTGCAAAGTTCATATTTACTTAGAAACAGATAGTGTACGTGCTAATGTTAATCTAAAACATATTCTTTATCTTTTTGAAGGTGACAAATTATGTAATCTTCTTGTTAGGTCATTTCTCTGAATAGATTCTATCACCTGAAGATTCTCCGGAATTTTAACCCAACATATACAAGCAAGTAAATTCACATTTTTTGGTTAAAATGATGGTTTTAAGAAGATAGAAATGAAATGCTTAAGTCTATTATTTTTTTGGTGTAAGCAAGAGTTGGTAGGGGAAAGCATAGAGATGGTCGATTTTCAAGGAAACTTGTAACTCTGTATGGCTTTTTGAGGGTGTGCCCACCACCCTGTGGGATGTAAGTTTCCCATTCATCATCCCTTGGATGTTGAATTTTTTGTGAATACAAAGTTACCCTTATCTCAAAAAAAAAAGAGTAAATTCACATTTTGTCAACGGATCTGTTTAGATATTGTGGTATCGAGTTAATGTAATGCCTCTCTGAAGTTGGGATGTCACACATTTGACATTTGTAATCTGAGGGTTGTGAAAGTCTAAATTGCAGTCCTTTGACTAGGCTGAAGCTGCATAGGATAAGGTCCCCTTATGCAGGCATAACTTACTTTTTCTAAAGACAGTGCCTTCCCCTTTTACCGATTGTGAAGTTTAAGATTAGCTCACTTACTCAACCTGATATTCTAATTATATATATTGACTTATAAAAATCAGCTTGACAAAGAACGTGTACCAACTTCAGAATGCAGAGTGCAGGCTTAGCCCCATTTGGTTGCTGACTTTGTTTAAGAAGGATTATAATTATGGTGTCGTGTGTAGAAAAGCAATAGGTATTAAATTTTGCTTGCATTTTAGTCTTCTGTGTTGTTATTACTTGCTAGATCCATTTTGTTTACTGTAGCTGTGAGAGTGACTTGATTGTCGATTCTTTTTGGTTGCACCATGAACAACGTTTAGCTCTCACGAGGTTGGTTGACATAAGCTAATCCTCTCTCAGAGCAATCCACTAAGCCATTACCCAATGTCATGGTTTTGGTAAGTCGGAAGGAATTGTCTGGTGGTGCCCGCCATCTCCTTCCAGAAGGTGTGATAATTGTAATCATTTTGTAGGGTCTTTGAATTGATTATCTTCCAAAGGTTTGGTGATCGGGCTAGACCTGGAAACCTCCTTCCAGGTACATAATTGGTCGTCTGTGTGTGGCAATGAATCACAAGACTAGTTGGAAATCCTACTCGTCTTGGAGCTTCCAGTAAGACGAGTTGGAAATCCTACTCATCTTGTGGTAATGAATCACAAGATGGGTTTGAATTGAGAAATTCAACACAGAAATCTTCAACTGTGGGTGAAGACAAACAAGTACCTTTATAAATACATGACTTTTCTGTTCCAAAAATAATTAAATATGTGACTTCCTTCTGTTTCAAAAATAAATAAATATGACTTCCTCTTTTTTTTTTTTATGAAAAGAATCCGCAGCCGCTATCCTTTGGATACGCACAGGGTTGAACCCCCGTTCCTATGCAATAGCTCGCAAACCACATAAGAGAGGTGATCTGCACTAGGCAAGCGTGGTGCGACGAGCTCGTCCCAGTAGGCAAACTCTTGCTTTCGCTGGCAAGGGATTTCGAGCTTGAGAGCTCCAACATGAAAGTTCCAAGCTCAAACACACTGGGCCATCCCGAAGGGTGACTTTCTTTTATACTTTACTAGTTATTGAGCTTCACTCGTCCTTTATTAATTTCTTAATGTCCGTGTATCCAATGACTTCTTATAAAATATCTGCTCCCTATTTAAGAATTTTCTTGCCACCTTTTTCTTTTTGCTTGATTGAAAGCTTGAATTTGGAGTTCTTGTTTCCCCACAGTTATACTTTTTACTGGTGAGTGCTTTCCTGACATCATAATATTCAGAAAGAATTCTGTCAAAGTTGTATAATATATGGACATTGTGTTTCCACAAGATGGCAGGAAAATGCACAAAAAAAGTGCTCCTCGAGTGAAGATGGTTAACTGTGCTGGTTTTCCAGGCCATCCTGACAGATATTTTCACTATTCGAAGGTATGTTAAAACGTATTTTTAGTATTCTTGGTTTACCTTTAATTTCCATTGGCATTTGACATTCCATGCTGGTGTTTTCAGGATCAGAATTGAGTTCTCTGACCGGGTCATGTCACCAAATACTTCAACATTTCAGTCAGTCTCGGTGAGTATACTCTAATCCTCTTCATCCAATATTAAAGATCAAATATCATCAATCTCATTTCTGGTCCTGAATTTTGCATAAAGTGTTAAGTCACTCATAAATCTGCTATGCTTCATGTCCCATGCGGGCTATACCTGTTGCAGTATGTGAGGCTAGAGATCTTACTGAGGATGTAGTTCAAATATCTTAAATGATTTATAAATGACCTAAACACTGCGCTTAGAACTAAGCTAGCATAGAGTATAGATCGTCACCTGCCACACGTCTAAACAAGGATAATTGGCTCAAGGTCATGCAATGATAGTTGTCAAGAATATCAGCTTGTTAAGGAGATCAGAAGATCAAGAATATAAAAACCATCACATTGTTAAAGAGGAACTTTGGGCTACAACATGATGTTTATAAATTAGTAGTTGTCTTCAATTTCACAATTTGATAGTTCTAGTATTAAGTGAGTGATGTTTTGAGTTTGATGATTCTAGTAAGAATCTTCCAACTGTACGTTCAAACACGTTACGCATTCATTAGTTAGATGTAAACATTCGGATAGATTTTAACCATATTTAAAGTGTTTGCAAATTGCAAGGTTGCTCGAATACTACTACTATATAAGAACAAGATATTGGATGTGGTATATAGGAGACCCTATTAGATTTGTTAGCACTAAATAATTACTAATTAAATTTACGTACATTTTATTTGTTCAGTTTAGAAAGAAGAAAAATTTATCTTTCTTATAACCTATAATCATTTCCTGATGCATTTTCCAAAATATTGTATATTTTAAAGGTATAATGATACAATAAAATTGTCATTTTATTTATGTTTTGTAAGTTACTAGCCAAGTAAGAATAGACTGATGAATAGTACATCAATTTATTGATTCCAATTAGTGGTGTTAAGATTAGGTATATAATTATATTGTTCATAATTACAAAGAAGTCAAAAGGGTCTTCACAAAAGATTTTCAGAACCGGTTACTTTTGTAGATTATTTTTGAAAGTGAAATAAATCCCTTTTTTAACATTTTCTTTTAAATGAAACCATGTAATTATTTAATCTGAATTGTTTTTTGTAAAAAAAAATTATATTTCTACTAGCATAGTTTCATATTTCAATGTACAAAATTGATGCGGATAGACTGACGTCACGATTATGTCAAATGTTAAAAAATATTATTAATTCATTTATAATAAAATGATTTTAAGATAAGTTAATTTAATTTGCATACCCCATCAATAATTTACGTTAGCCTTAAATGCTTATCCATATTTTTTCATGACGTTATACAATAAAATTAAATTTGAGCCATGCACAACTTGTTTGGGGTCATATCATAAGTATGCTAATTATTTAATTAAAGGGAAGAAAATGAAAGAAAAAGTAATTTGATGCACTGAGTATATGTTATAAGCTGACTCTATTTAAAAAAAATGGATCGAATTGTATTAGCTTTATCATATAAAAGTAGGTAATCTTATTATATATTTATGTAAAAAGACACGATTTCATTTTTTGATCTCTCGATCACATGGGAAAAACTTGTATATGTCATTTGCTTAACATTACATATAAAGTTATAACTAGAGTGAATAATTTAATTTTTCTTGCTAAATAGTAAAAAAATCATCATTAATTTAATTTAATGATGAATTATTGAAAAGTTGTTGTAAAACTAAAGAACAAAAGAACAATATAAAGATGAAGACAAGAAGAATATAAGACAAGAGGAACAATATAAGATCACAATCTTTCTTTCAGGTATTCACCAGATCTTCAAGTATATACAATAGGATCCCTTATGCCTCTATTTATAGTGTAACATAGAGTCATACAAAAGGTTAGTCATAAACATGACAGTAAACATGAATATAAATAAGGAGGTTACGGAGGTGAAAGTTACAAGAATAATTATCATAAAGGTGGAGGTTATCTTCGTAATGGACGGAAGTAATGTAGTAACTTCTTGGTGTAGTGAATTATCTTTATAATGGAGGGAAGTAATGTAGTAACCATTTTGTGTAGTGGACATTCACAATATATTATTTTATAACAAAAGTCATGTTAAGTACTGGCTTTTAGCTATAAATTAACAATAAATTTTATAGCTAAATTATGTGTTTTGTAAAATATATTAGTATAGAAGTGCGCTATATTTATTTTTAGTTACTTCGTGCTTGGAGATGAATTTAAAAACTTAGTTATGAATTCACCTGATTTTAATCAATATATATATATATATATATATATATATATATATATATATAACTTGAGATTGTTATAGACACATCTCACAAAATCTAAATTATGAATCCGATGAGCAGACAGATAAACTGTAGTCCTGTCTTATAAAAATTTTAATATACAACATATATTATTTCTTTAAATCTAATTATTAATTCCTTTCTTTTCAGAATTACACTCTATTTTTTTATCATAGATTCGTCACTATATAAAAAAACTGACGAAAAAAAGGAAATAAACTGGTATTGCAAAAGTATTTCTTATGTAAATGAGAAAGAAGATATATAAAAGACATTAAAATTAAGACCGACGTTTAATTAATTAATTACCTACTTGAAGATGACCCCTGTGTAGAATTATTAATGATTTTGGTAGACTCAAGCTATTAAATACTCGTTCCGTCTATTTTTACTTGTTCAATATTAATTTAACACATTCATCAAGAAAATAATAAATAAAATAATAATTTTACGTAATAAATCATCTCTTAAAAATTTAAATTTAACAAGTAAATATAACATCGGAGTAAATAAATGTAGAGGTCACAATTCAAAAACTTAAAAATATGCTATTTTCATCAGATGTTCACATTACATGTTGAACTCAAAAAGTCTTCTAAGCTGCAGTAATTTGGAACCATATATTAAATGTCACTTGCAAACCAACTATATAATATGTTGTACTGAATTTAATAACTACCATACAAATAATTGAAAAACTACCATAATACAAATAACTGAAAACATCATAAGTAGTATTTTTAGTATTTCTGGTTGGGAGATGGTAAGACTTTATTTTATTTGTATAATAATAGAAATAATATGAGGTCTTCATCAAATGTTTTATAGGTTTTGTTAAGTCTCTAAAAGGAATGAAATTTTATATGGTAATTAATACTTATTGCAACCTTTACCATAACGATATTATTTAATATTTATAGATTAAATTATTTTGTGGATTAAATTATTCTCGTTTCAATAATTATTTAACCATCGTAAGTTGATATGACCAGTAGTGAAATCAGAATTTTCATTAAGGATTTCAAATTATGAAAAAGTCGATGGTGGTTCAACATTTTACAATTTATATACATAAAAATTGATTTATATATCATGTATAAATACTGGAATTTTTCAAAGAAGGGTGTTCGAATGAACCACCTGAATCCCTACTAGTTCCGCCCCGATATGTTTTTAAACTAGATTTTAAAGATTATGATTTTCACCTAACAATGAAGACTATATATAGCTAAATTATAACCATGTGCCTTGTATCATATTGGACCACATTAATTAACAAATTAGCCACTAGGTTTGCATATATAGACAGTGACATGAATCTGTCTATTTTCATAAACTTACCATAATAAATCAAAATACTGTAGTGATGTTTAAAATTCAAAAACTCAAGAAAAATCAAGTAATCTATTTTCAAGGTAAATTTAATAATATGTTGACTCTATAGTGAACCATAGAAACCAGACACAAAAATTCAACAAAGAAGAATTAGTCACCAAACTATTAATTCATGTACAAGAATGTTACATCTGTATTTTCTTATCATTTCAAGTTCGTTCGTGATATTATCTGTTTTAGACCTAGACTCACATGACACTAAAATCTCTTTACTTATATATTCAATATATCTCATGTGTTTTATTGATGTGAAACTTTTTATCGCGACACATTTCTCATATTCGATCGATCAGATTTTTAAATATAAACATTTTCTCTAGAAAATTACATTTGTATACCCCATAATTAATATAATAAAATGATTTTAGATAAGCTAATTTAATTATTTTTTTTTCATTATAATACGTCTGGTCAGAATTTGCAATAGACATGAGGTCCTCATGAAATGTTTCATAGGATGCATTTGCGGCTATTCAATCTCAAACACATATAATTTTTAATTTTTTTTATCAATTCAAAATTCACCAAATTAATTAATTTGAGTCATTAAAGTTTTAAATTTTGGAACAATGACTTCATATGCTAATAATTAAATTATTCAAATTTTATTGTGTGTACACGATAAACAGAAGTTATTAGGTCAAATTGAATTCATATGTGAGCTTTTAACTCAATTCCTTATGAAAATCGAACGGTGATTACACCAAGTCAATGTTAATAAAACTTTCGCTTGTATTACTAGACTGTAAATCTCGATTATTTTACTTTTAATTGATCTAGTTACTATAACAGTAAAAAAAATTAATTATATTTAATTAACCTGAACTTTTAAGGACTATAAAGTCTATAACTAAATCATAGCCTTGAATACCGCAAAAAAGGTAAAATATGTGTTTGCATATGACTACGCTAGCTAGCTTAGCAAAACATCAAAATCCCATATGGTAAAAAAATTTATTAATATAAGATATTTACATCAAATTATAATGAAGTATTATAATTAAATGATTTAATAAAATAAAGTATATTTTATTAATTATATATTAAATGAAAGAATTCTACCTATAAATATAGGTTATATGTTTTTATTGATTTGATATAAATACACAACTATTCATAGCGGCATATAGTATTTTCACCAAAATATTTTATCATTTATTTATTATTATATATAAATAAGAAAAATTTTGACATTATATAGATATAAAATGTAATTTTCCGAGATTCAGATGAATTCCTTCAGCTTTTTTGTTCTATCAAAGCATACATAAATAATAATGTGTATTTAGTGATAGAGTCAGAACTTCATCTAATTAAAAAGTGTCAAAACAAATAAAAGTAAAATCACATAGAAGTTTATCAGTATCAATATACATGAGAAAAATATTCTTACTTCACTACAATAATGTAATTTTTCAATAAAGAATTTCGATCAATCAATACTCCTCAAATATATGTGACTCTACCAGTATATATATTTCTCTTTACATAATATATAACATCTATAATATAATTTTATAAGTAAAATGTGAAGAAAAAAAATAAAGCATATGAACATAAATTATTTTAGATAGATTTTCGACTATCAAAAATAAAATTAGTAAAAAAAAGAAATAAGGGAAATGAAGATAAATATTTTCAAAGGCTATTTAACAAAATATTGACTCTTTTAGAGAAAGGTAGAACCAGACAAGATACAAGAATTTAAGAGTACGAAGAATTAGTCAGCAAATTAATTAGTCATAAAATCAATTCACGTACAAAAATATTACATCTGTCCATGCATAATAAATAAAACAATTAATTAAACAGCATTTTCCTAACTATATTTTGTCACCTTGTATTAAAATTTTAGTGCATAGTCATCATAATATATATTAAAAAAATATTTCTCTAGGATTTGATCTTTTTGTGCTCTAGCCTAACAATTCCAAAATGGAATTTCATCTTTTTGACCATAATTAAGCAGGAAATTGGGAAACAGAATTAAAAAAAAATATTAAATGATTATAAAGTATATAATTATTTAAATTAAAGTTTTGGATAACTACTTGTCTTCCTAATTTCTATGATGAATTGGTCAAAAGGTGAAGTTAACAAAAGTTTAATTTTCAAAGAGTAAAAAAAGACATCATAATTAAAGTCAGTTTACTTTTATAAGTAG